TCGACATTGATGTCGGCGATTTCGGAAGCAGTGATGTTTCCGTTTGCAGTCACAAGGCGAATAGGCTGAGGGGCCTGTTTTCGGATTGCCTTGGACGCATTCCTCAGTGCAGCTTTGCTGATGAGGTCCTGCTCACTACCGGAATCAATGAGCCACACGTCCTTTCCCTTTGGTGCAGGGCTGGCTGCCCTTGGCGCTTCGACATCCTTGCGGACATCGTGAGGCGGCATGGCAATTCTCAGGCACTCATCACACGATAGGCTTGAGATGGAATCGGATTCCACATCACACATGAAACCACAAGCGGGCTGGGCTCCATTCTCAATGGCGTTGATTACGGCATTCAACTGGTTCGCGGCCTTGCGTGCTGCCTTGTTCGTCCCCTTGGTCGGCCTGGGGCAGTCCTTAGCACTTGGAAACATCCTGTTGTACTGCCGTTCCTCATACTCAAGCTTGAAACCGCCTTCGGCGGGGATCTCATGCGCATGAGCATTAGTGTCGAAAGACACTCCAATCGGATTGATCGGCTTTGCGAACATGGCGTACCTGGTGCAGACTGCAGCGGCTTTGGCCTTGGGCTTAGGCTTAGGTGAATTAGCACGCTTCTTAGCCGCAGGATTAGCATTGGCCTCGTTGCTCGATGCCGCGGCGGCTGATTTGCCGCCCGTGGGCTAAACTTGCATTTGTCACCTCTAGTGCACTTCCCTTGGGCAAAGAAAGAGCACGGTGCTTTCTCTCCTTTATTGCCTTTGCCACGGGTCGCGGAGCGTCCTCGCGGCTCCTTGCGGTGCGCGTATGGGCAGTTTGCCCCCCTCGTGCACGAGCCCTTCTGGAAATCAAAGCAGTACTTTTCCTCGGTGTCCTTCGGCTTAGGTGCGCTCTTTTTCTTGGGGTCCCTCTTTTCAGGGGCGGCGGCACCAGCCTTGGGCGTCGGGGCTTTACTAGCATTGACTTTGGACACGCGCTCTCGGTTCTCGCGAAGCCTATCCCTCTCGATTAGATCCCTCATGCAACGCATTAGGAAATCGTACGACTTGTTGGGATCATCATCACGGCAACGATCATATGTGTGGATGTCGTACCGCAACAGATGGCAGCTTCTCACTTGGCGAAGCAGGATGTCTTTCAACACCTTTTCTTCTGGCGGCCTTTTCATGCCGGCGATCACGGAATCCCAAGCGTTTAGGAAACGCTTGAGATCAATGATTCCTTCGCCGTGTCGCGAGACACGCAACAGGTCCTCCAAGGAGTAGAGGTTTCCGGCTTCTTCACTGGTCTTGAAATATTGGTCAAACATAAACAAGACCTGCCTTCCTCTCATGGCCTTTCCCTCCTTGGCACATTCTTCCTTTGCTGTCAGGATTCGCTGAGCCAGATCGCCTTTCGCTGAACGCGTGAGCGCTGCGAGAATCTTCGTGTCTAGAGTCACGAATTTTCCCGGTTCACCAAGCTCCTCCAACAGCTTCTTCTTGTCCTCGCGGTCAGACCAAACTTCCATGATCCAAGGCCAAGCCTCGTCTGGACGGTCCGATGCAGCGCGGACATCCTCACGAACCGATGTCTTCCATTCACGGTACGTTTCAGGAGTTGGCATCTCCTTGAATCGCAACGTCTCGCTTTCGCGGGTTCTGGGCTTTTCATCGTTCGTGTGGCCTTTCACTAACTTCATCAACATTTTGGCGAAGGCTTCTTGACCGAGGTTAGGCCCGAGGCCATCACCTTCGTCTTCATCACCTTCGCCATCGCCATCATCGTCAGGTGGCGGACCGCCAGGGGGCTTACCACCCTGCTTTACGGTCAGTTGGCATTGGCCCCTGAGAGAATTGCAGGGGCGGGACCGGTGCACTTGTTTTCACCGGGGATCGGCTGCTACCTGATGGCTTTTCAGCTGGTCCTTGCGGATCGCGAGCATCTGCAGGCAGTGCTTCGCTTTCGGCAGTTGGAATCACGCTGGGGGTATATTCAACCTCGTAACCGTCATAGGTAACAAGCGACCTCAACTTTTCCTTTGCATATTGAAATGGATTGGACAACGGGTCCAACATTGATCTTTGGGACCGAGCTGATTTCATGTCGTCGGTCATCAACTCTGGTGAATCCTCTCGGGTATCACCTACCCCTTTGGGCTTCGATCCATCCTCGCGGAGGTCGTGTTGCTTCTGATACCTCTTCAGCTCATCGAGCTCGTCCTGCAGAAGCCCGTTTTGGTAGGCCATCATGTCAATCATCCTGGCGTTTTTCGCTTCGACACGGGCAGTGTCATCGGCGTGCTTGGCGGCTTGCTCATGAAGGAGCTGCTGGGCCTCCGCCAGGGTGGATTCGATGGCTTGCCTAAACTCAGTTGTTTTGTGTCTCATATCCACTTCATGCGATGCTTGGGCGTTTTCCTCACACACTTGGCTTATCCTAGCTTCAGCGAAGTTCACTTCTTGGATGAACTCATCGCTCACTCGCTGTTCGTATTCACGAATCCTATGCGACTGGGCTTGCACACATTCAGCGTAGTGTGCATACAGCTGATTCTGTGCGACACGGAGCTCCTCACGGCTTTCCGCTTGCAAATGCGTGACAGCTGCTTGATGCAGGGCTTCGGCTTCAGACCTAATGGCTGCATCATTCCCAAAAGCAAAGATTGCGGTATTGTGCAGTTGAAGGGAATTCATCAGGGTGCGGTTATACTGCGCATTGGCGCTTGGCGCGAACATTCGCGCACCGCCGCCGGTGGCGTTGTCGGAGCTAGCTCCGACAGCATCCACAGGCATGTTGGATCCATCAACAGGCACAAGGGAACCGTCCATTGCTTAGAGCTAGGGGCCTACGGCTGATAACCTATAGATTCGAGGGTTACCGGTTTGGGGCCCAAAAGGAAACAACAAACCGTCCAAGTGCGCTGCTCGCACATTTTCACGCTTGAACAGCCACACTGCGGATGCAACGGATGTAAAACCCCATAATGACCGATCAAATTCTTCGGAGGGGAGGGGCACAAGGGGAGGGGGATGGGCGGGGCTGACTGGTGAACCTTTCTAGGAAGTGAAGGGAAAGCGCAAGAAAACCAAGCGGAAATCGGGGTTCTGAGTTCAACATTTTGAGAGAAATACCCGATTGCAGCGCTGAAAAAGCTTGGCTCAAGCCTCCAAAAGCCCAAAAGCCCAAAAGAAGGGAGTTCCTGAAGATGCTTGAGAGGTCGTGGAGGAAGCACCCTGACTTGTGTGGACCCCCCCCCACTTAGTGTTGGCAGCTGTTGGGTTGTTTTTTGTTTTTTCATTGGGGTCGTGCCAAGTGCACGCAATTTAAATGTGCCACTTCATGCCGCTCCATGCCACATACCCTCATCAAGTAGCAGCCGCAGAGAACATCAAGTGAGTACTCTGATCCACGGTTCACATGCTGATGCCCCAGTCAAGTAGAATCGCCAAGCATCAACTGAACATCTAAGTGCCTGATCACGAAGCGAATTGCTTAAAAAAGCAAGCAAGTACCTTGAGGAAGGAGTGAGCAGACAGCTGATCAGATTGGCAGCCCAATCAAGTAATCCAGCATGTACCCAGCTGAAGTAACAACCCAACCCAATGATAAACAAAGTACCCTGGTCAAAGTAGGCTGCTGATCAAGAAGTGACCCCATCGCGGATCAACATGCCAGGGCCAAGTCGCAATCCCACGGCTGACAAAGTAAGTACCGTGATCCGAAGTAAGCCCGCCAAACAAAGCCAAGCAGAAATGAATCCACCAGACGCGTGGGCTCTGGTGTACTCCCCTGAGGATTAACATGGAACCCCATAAGGACGTCCCCTTTACGCGAGATTCCTCCATGAGGTCTTTGTTGGGTCCAGTCTCCTGGGATCCGCTTAGCATGCGCTGGTGGCCCGCTGGCGAAGCTCTACTTCCCCCATTTGCGAGTGTCTAGGACCATGGGTGACGATGGGATCAGCAAGCCGAGGTGCTCTTTTTTGGGCGTCCTTATGCTTTTAGGGTGAAAGGGTGAGGAAAGTGTGGGGGGGGGGGGGGGCACAAAACAAAATTGTGTGTGTTTGTGTTCACCATGAAGTAAAACGTTTGGAACATGAGCCGACCCTCCTCATCTATCGGCTCCCGCCAAGGCTCGAAGCTGAGTCCTGAGCACCAACTGGCACCAGTTGCCAGCTTTGTCCCGGTATTTACAGGGTTCATCCCCAACTGGTGCGCTTCGTGGTTTTTTGTCAATCCACAGGACTTCTGCTTTGTTCAGTTCCTAACAGCTGAAAGCTATGGGGGTCTCCGCCCAAATAAGTCCCGAAATGTTGGGGGATACCACCTGGGCGTATTTTCGAACAACAACTTTGGGAATGGAACCAACTGTTCGGTGCCATCTGGTCTTGCTTGGCCAGAAGGGACGCCTAAAGAGTCGGCAGAAAATGCCTGCCGGTGGTTCTCCAAGAATATGGAACCCTGCAAAGCCTTTGGCTTCCCTCTAAACCAATCAAGGGCGGTGCACTGCGAGGCTCAGGTGTTCCACTGGCCTTTGTACACTCCAAAAGCAAGCAAAGACTCTGTTCCTCGGACACCGTTTGTCAGCCTTGCAGGGTATCTTCAAAATCAAGCCGACTGACAACTCGATCTACAGAGTCTTCCAGCATGCAGCCACGAAAAAGGCACCAAACAAAACGGACCAAACCCAATGCTTCAACACTGGCGCAACCCAGTGTTGTCCTTTTGCCGTATGTCCGGGGACAAGTTTGGCAGACGTCCAAGAGGAATTCAATGCCGCTTTCTTGGGTATAAACCCATACAATTGTCCAATGAGAACCCTTGGACCTTTCGTAAGAGGGTCGGCTTGTCATCCTTGTTTCGTGCATTTGTCCATGCGTTTGGCATTAAAGGAGAAAGCCAGATATACAGGGGTCAATCCAATTGCAATTAACTGGTGATTCCGTGATTCCCGTTCAAACTGCTACTTTTGGAGGTTCCGCAAGGGAAATGGCTCGGAATCCCAGGCCACACCCACAGCTGTGCACGCGCTCCTCAGCAGCGCCCAGCAATCGCACCACCGCGGGCGGAGCCGGTTCTGGGCTGCTTGGCCTGGCGAGGGCTGTCAAAAACTTGCCTCTCTAGACAATTCAGTCAAGAAACGTGCACCTTGATTCGCGCAAATGGTGCGCTTCCACTCAATCTGCATGAAGAAACCTGGTTTGCAACAGTCCAGCCCAGTGTGAAGATGATCCCGAGAAAAGATGGAGGGGAAGGGTCAAATCCTGCAAATTCATCAGGAAGCTGTAGCTGCGTAACCCCGAGAAACGAAATGCCTGAAACAATCTCAAACCCAAAATGCCTCAACTAAAGGATTTGCCAAACAGGCTTTGCAACCGACCCCTGGTCTGCATGGTCAAGCTGAACCCCTGCAAAAGAAGGCAACTTTGGGCTGGTTGCGGGGCTGCTGGATTCTGGAAAAGCGGCTGTCATGTTACCAAAGCCAAGCAGAATCAAAGGACAAGGTCCCAATCACTCCTGATCTCAGGCAAAAGGACTGGCTGGCCCCCTTCTCCCCTTAAACCTCTTTACGGCTGTGCCCATTCAACCCAAATTTAAGAAACCCAGGTGAGCCCTCAATTTGATCCGTCCCCCCCGCCCCCAGCCCCAGTCCCATTGACCAGGCCTGGGCAGGCCCTTTAGCAGCCGGGCCAGCGCCCAACCCAGGGGCCGCAGCTGCGCCTGAACGCGGATTGACGGTGGATGGTTGCGAAATCCGCTTCTCGCACAAAATGAAACCACGGACACCATTGTTTCTTGTATTTACAGGAGAATCATCAGTGTAGGCTTTCTGACATGTTGCAAAATGTTGTCCATCCACAGTAGGGACAGCCACTACACAGCCACCTCAAGGGTTTTTAACCCTGTGTCTTGCCGAGGGGCTGGCTGTTTGGGGTAGGGGAAATCTAAGCCGGGGTCTTGGAACCAGAGACTGTTGCTTTCGCCAAGGAAGCTTTCTGGCAGCCCACCCCATGGTAGCTTGCTATGTCCTTTTACCTCCTTTTGCTCTGGAGAAGGCGATGATGCGCTTACCACGCGCTTAAAAGAGACCTCCATTTCACGGTAGCTTTTAATTTTAAAGGCTTCCTCCAAAAAGCCGAATTGTTGGACACGGGTCAGCTCCGTAAGACTCCCTTCCAAGCACCACGCAAGCGAACTTCAGCCCAAGCCACAGCGCTGCTGGGCAGGCAGCAAATCCGCAGGCACAGCCTGGCGACGATGGCCCGAAGAGTCCAAGACGCCGTCTATAGAAAGGTCTCCAGACATCGGGGGGCCCCTGCCTTTTGGACGGGTTGTACCGGGAACCAGAAGGAAACAAGCCAACCGGAGGGGTGCCATGTTCACCATTTTTGAGAAGCCGCACGTTCAGAACGGTCAGGTCCTGGTTCCTTGGAGCAGTCTGGTCCATCTGCTTTAGTCCCGTGGAACAGGAGAGCGTCCGGCAGTGACAGATTCCCTTGAAACATCCATCAGGGGAACATCAAAAAAGATCCTAAGCAAATGGAAAAGTGATCCAGGGAACAGGCAAAACCATCTGGATGATAGTCATCCTGAAATAAGCCCCCCCCCCAGAAAGAATCCTCAGTCAGTTGGACAGAGTCCGCAAGGCGCAAAACAACGAGACATGCACTAGGCCATGCTTGTTGTTTGTTTCCTTAGCTGTTGATCTGGGTGTGTCGGCTTTTAGGGGACCCCCCAACATGTGGGCTTCGGTGTGCCTTTTGAACCAACAAGGGGGCCACCCTCAGAAGACGACGAGCCACCCATCTGGAATCCTCGATTGCACCAACCTTAAAGGATGGAATGCCTGAAGCCAGGGACCTTCATGCCAGGCCCTTGGTCCAACACAAGGCCCCGCCACCTGCATCTAAACCAAATCTCTGGTCTTGGCCACCATTATAAAAGAAAGAAAGAAAAGGCTCCCTTCCCGCTCACTCCACCAAAACAACACAAAAGCACCTGGCCACCCCCGTTCTCTCCCCCCCTCCCCCGTGGCAGAGAAGATTAGGTCCTATGTGGCGTGCGCGCGCGCGGGATGATTGTTTCCCCCAAAGTGGTACGCGCGGGGGGATGTTTCCCTCACTCATGATACACACACACGCACGCACACACGCACACACACACACACACACACACACACACACACACACACACACACATGCGCGCGCGCACACACACACACACACGCGCGCGCGCAAGCACGCACGCACGCACGCGCGCAAGCTCGCGCGCACGCAAACACAAGCAGAGAGAGAGAGAGAGACAGAAACTGAGAGCACAAAGGGCACTCAAACAGAGTGACAAGCAATACACACGCACACACCAAGTACACTAACACAAACAAAACACCCTTTTTCTTTTTAATTTTCGAATCATTCTAGAAACTCCCAAAGGGGCAGGGGACTGTTGGGGAATTCCGAAACAATTTCTTCTAGCTCATTGAAATTTCTACTTGTTCTATTTATTATTCAAGGGGCGGGCGCGCTTTCAAGAATTCCAGATGCATTGTCCTAATTCTTACAGCTATTCGGATTACTACATATTTTTCACCAAGGGACGGGTGCCATTTGGCGAATTCCAGGTTCACGTGTTTTCGAATCATTCTACGTGATTTTGTATTTATTCACAAAGGGGCGGGTGCATTTTGGGTCAAATGTGCTCAAGTTAGTCTACTTCTCATAACAATCATCATTCTCTAATGTATTCCCACAGGAGGGTTTTTTTTCGGGGGAAATCAACATTCATGGTTGATCTAATTATTTTACTCATTCTAACAACTTAAGCAAATCTAAGGATTCTCGTTGTTTTCAAGCCATTTGGTGAAGTCCTGTGTGGTTTCCAGGTCATTCTGTTCTGATTATTCTGGTTGTAGCACGCATTCCCAACGGGACGGGACCCCTTGTGGAGAATCCGCCCCTAATTATTTCCTTTGTTCTAGCTATTCCCAAGGAACGGGTGACTGGTGCCTTTTCGGAAATCCCAATTCCAGGTTCATGTGTGTTTCAACTATAGTATTCTAACTAATCAACTTATTCTCATTCTAATCATTCCCAAAGGGGCGGGTGCGTCTTGTGGAATTCAAGATCCATGTTTGCCAGCTATTCTACTTATCATAACTATATTACTTGTTCTAATTATTATAATTCTTCCCGGAGGGACGGGTTGCTTTTGGAGAATTCCAGATCCATCTTTGTCCTAACTGTTTTAATTATTGCATATGTGTCCCCACAAAATTACAATTATTCTCATTTATCTACTTATTGCGAAAGGGGCGGGTGCCTTTGGGGGAACTCCACATTTATGTTTGTGCTAATTAATTGAACTAATCTAAGTATTCTACTTCTTCCAAAAAGTGGGGTGTCTTTTGATGAATTCCAGATTCATGTTTTCTAACTATTCTACTTATCATAACTCTTCTAATTCTCATCATTATTCCCAAAGGGACGGGTGACTTTTGGGGAATTCAAGAGCCCTGTTTGTTAATTATTCTACTTATCATAATAGTTCTATATTATTCTAATTGAATCCCTAGGGAGCTGGGGTGCGTCTTGGGGAATTCCAAGCTCGTGTTTGCCCTGGGTAGGATACTTATGTCAAAAGGGATGGGGCCTGTTGGTGGCGAGATTCATAGTTCCCACATGGTTCAAACTATTCGAACCATTCCTAAAATACTACTATCATTATCATTTACAAAGGGACGGGTGCCTTTTGAGAGCTTCCAGATTCGTGTTTGCTCTAACTATTCTACTTCTATAATTATGCTAGATATTCTGCTTATTGACAAAGGGACTGGCACCTTTGTTGTTCTAGGTACAACAATTACTACACAAGAGGTGGGTGCCTTGTACGTCTTCCCATTATTCTTGTCATTCCCAAAGGGAGGGGTGCTTGCGAGGAATTCCAGATTCTTGCTTTTTCCAATTCTTTATTCTCCAAATTGGGGAACTTTCAGATTCATTGTTTCTCTAACTATTCTACGTACAATATGGTCTGTTCTTGGGCGTGCCCAAAATATTCCAATTATTCCCAACGGGACGGGTCCCTTTTGAGGAATTCCAGATTCATTTTCTAGTCTAGCAAATCTACTCATGAACTTATTATAATCATTCTTCCCAAAGGGACGGGTGCCTTTAGGGAATCTCCAGATTCATGTTTGTTCTAATCTTTCTAGTTATTCTAAATGTTCTGTTGTTTCTTATTATTCCCAAGGGGGCGGGTGCCTTTGGGGAATTGAAGATTCATGTTTTGCATATTAGCCTACTTATCATCGCCATGATTTCTCCTTATTCCAAGAGAGGCGGGCGCCTTTTGGGGAATTCCAGGTTCATAGCTTTTTTTCTCTTGATTCTACTTCTCATATTGTTCTCATGATTATTCTCATTCCCAAAAAGACGGGAATTCCAGGCTCTTGTTTTTGCCTTCGGACCGAAAACCGCGCTCAACGGCGTGCGCGTTTTCAGTTCGTTGGCAGAAATCAGAAGCATCGCTGATCAGCACACCCGCTCACGATTACCCGTTCAGCACTGCAGTCATGCCTGCCACATGATCAGCACACCCGCTCACGCGTACCCGCTCAGCACTGCAGTCATGCCTGCCACATGATCAGCACACCCGCTCACGCGTACCCGGTCAGCGCAGTCATGCCTGCCACATGATCAGCACACCCGCTCACGCGTACCCGCTCAGCACTGCAGTCATGCACATGCCACACCCGCTCACGCGTACGCTCAGCACTGCCCTGCCACATGATCAGCGCCCGCTCACGCGTACCCGCTCAGCACTGCAGTCATGCCTGCCACATGATCAGCACACCCGCTCACGCGTACCCGCTCAGCACTGCAGTCATGCCTGCCACATGATCAGCACACCCGCTCACGCGTACCCGCTCAGCACTGCAGTCATGCCTGCCACATGATCAGCACACCCGCTCACGCGTACCCGCTCAGCACTGCAGTCATGCCTGCCACATGATCAGCACACCCGCTCACGCGTACCCGCTCAGCGCTGCAGTCATGCCTGCCACATGATCAGCACACCCGCTCACGCGTACCCGCTCAGCACTGCAGTCATGCCTGCCACATGATCAGCACACCCGCTCACGCGTACCCGCTCAGCACTGCAGTCATGCCTGCCACATGATCAGCACGCCCGCTCACGCGTACCCGCTCAGCACTGCAGTCATGCCTGCCACATGATCAGCACACCCGCTCACGCGTGCCCGCTCAGCACTGCAGTCATGCCTGCCACATGATCAGCACACCCGCTCACGCGTACGCGCTCAGCACTGCAGTCATGCCTGCCACATGATCAGCACGCCCGCTCACGCGTACCCGCTCAGCACTGCAGTCATGCCTGCCACATGATCAGCACACCCGCTCACGCGTGCCCGCTCAGCACGCGTGCCCGCTCAGCACTGCAGTCATGCCTGCCACATGATCAGCACACCCGCTCACGCACGTGCAGTCATGCCTGCAGCACATCATGCAGCTGCCACATGATCAGCACGCTGCCCGCTCACGCAGTATGCCTGCCACATGATCAGCACACCCGCTCACGCGTACGCGCCCAGCACTGCAGTCATGCCTGCCACATGATCAGCACGCCCGCTCACGCGTACCCGCTCAGCACTGCACTCACCCACCCAACCTACCGACCAACCAGCCACCCAGCCAACCAAGCAGCTAGCGACAGCATGGCCACAACACAACACAGCATGCAAAGCATATGTCCCGAATTCGCTGTCTTCGCAATCGCCGCTGCTGTATCTCTATGTAAAGTCTTGGCAGTGGCGGTACATCTTGCGACAGCGAGATGTGGAGACGCAGACTGTGCGAGCCCTGCGCCGGAGGTGAAAACGGCAAGGCAGCAGAGTGGGCGAGATAACTCGCGTTTCGCCTAGGCGAAACGCAAAACGCATGAAAAACTGACCCCTGTTTTCGGCCTCGTTTTTGGGGACACAGTAAGCGTTTCGCCTAGGCGAAACGCAAGTTTTTTCCAGAAATGTGGCTAACCGCAAGCGCGGTTCTCGGTCCGCCGGGTTGTTTTTGCAACTGGTCATTCCCAAATTTGGGAGAAGTTCTGATTCATGGTCTCTCTCGTATTCAACTTCAGGTGTTTTGGAACTACCCGCATTTTCAAAGTATCGCCAACGGGGCGGCCCTTTTGAGGAATTCCAGATTCATTATGCTACGCTATTCTACTTCTTATGA